TTCTTCTGTGTTTATTTTTAATACCATTTATAAGACTATTGTAGAATGGAAGTGTTTTGTAAAATCTACACATGTGGCATGGCATTATAAAAATCTTGGTTGGGTATTTATAATACAGCCAGTTCTTGGAAGGACCTTTTCTGGGTGCTTTCCGCTAATTGTTTTGAGCTCCTCATGACTGGTGGTTTGGGTATCTCCCAGGGTTATTATGAGAGTAATAACAAATAATAAATTTTTCAAATAATAATTCTGTGTATGACAGGGATAGAATTGAGGCAGGCAGAGATGCTGAATGACTTGCCCTTACAGTTGATGAAGGTCCTAAATGAAGTTGCAGTGGTACAAACTGGTTAATGCCCAGCCACAGGAAGAAGGCAGTGTTGGGATGGAGGCTGGTTTGCAGGAGAGGACACAGCAGAGCTCCATAAACATAGGTCAGGGAGCGTGCCTGGGGGTATGAATTTCAGTGTGGTGTTTAAGGGGGGGTGGAGGGAAGGAACCACCCAACTTCAGCTGCAGCCAGCATTCCTTCTAGTTTACAGAAGATTTTACTGATCTCTCTCTTACTCGTTTCTTCAAATTAGACAAAATGTTCTTCCAGTGCTTCAGAACAAAGGAATGCACTATTGTGGTTTTTTATGTGGAATAATAATGCTGTTGTTGATTCATTTTTATTATTATTGTGTTTTGTTTTCCAGCTGCTGCTGCAGAAAGCTCACTCAGGTTACTGTCCAGTGTGGCCCAGGAGGTGAAAGGACGGGGTACTATAAGCTGGATAGACTGTGGGTATGTGTCATGCTGGCTTTCTCCTTTCCCGCCCCACCCCCCCCACGCCCCCTTTGGCTTTTATTACTGACTTAGCTTTTTTGATGGCTCTGAAACCTTTTGCCTGTAACTGAACCCCCATCATTCTGTGCAATTCCTTCATAGCTGTAGGGAGCCTACATCTCATCATCCTCTCTTCCTTTGGACCAGTGGTGGGGAATCATTTTTTTCCTTATGGCTGTTGTTGCTTCTCTGACAGCATGTTTTTCTGCCTGAAGCTGGAGACCCCAGCTAGCATCACCTTTTGTGGAGGGCACGTAGCATGGAAACTCTGACTGCTCCGGCTTTCCCACAAGCCGGGGGAGGAGGAATCCCACATGTTGTGCCTCAGCTGGAGGGCAATGCAGTTCTGCTCCGACAACAAATGTTGCATGAGCAGTAGGGCTGTTTGCTTGGTTTTGAAGCATCCACCCATTTGTGTTTCTCAATAAAATGAGCTTTCTTCTTTTAACAAAAATACTTCCTCTGTGCTTGCATAAGTTCATGGCAATTTGTAATGTGAAGGCAGGGAAACTTGTTTTTGTAAGTGGTTGCTTGTGTGGGGAGGAATGAACAGGTGTGTACTTTCTGATTTGCAGATGCGAAAGCCTTCACTGTGATTCTGCTCAATAACACATTGCCTGTGGTTTTAGCTTGTGTATTGTAGTGCTTCTCTGCCTCTGCAGCTTTGAGAGCTTTGCCTGCAGGTGGCAAATTCCCCTTCCTGCACTACAGAGGAACAACTTCCTGCCTACCGATGTGTTTGGGTGGATTGTCATGCTATGAACAAATTGTACGCTGTGCACAGGTCTGTCAGCTCTGAAAATCATGTGGCTCCCTTAAAATTATACTTTTGAAACCAACCTCCATCCATCAAGCAGTGACCCAGAATAAGTCATTGGTAAATCAAAGGTAACATGCTTTTGTTGTTGGTTAACCTGTCTTGCTCTCCCCTGCCACCAGGCAGGTCTGCCGTGGAGTCCTCTGCTTCTGCCTTCTGTTTGCATTCTGCTGGGCTTGTCTGAATGCACAGACACTTTGATCTCTGCCCAACTGATGAGGACAGCATTGCAAGTCATCTGCTGGCAGAAAGCAGGGCTGCTCCTCAGAGGTCAGTGAAGCCTATACCAGTTCCCACCTGCTGAAAAGCCAGCAAATAAATTGTACTGACCCTGACGAGGAGAAGGTTGCGTGGAGATCTGGCATACCTCTGAAATACAATCTCCTGTTCTAACAAAAGTGCTGATAAACAATTTCTGGTTGTCAGTAATGATGGCTAGAGAATAGGATACTGGGCCAGCTTCTTGGCTTTGTCCCTAATCAGCCCTGTTTGTGACTGTGGAGTGGTCACTCTACCTTTTTGTGTCTTCTATTTCCCCTTTGTTTTAGGCTACTGCGTGTGTGTGCACGTGGCATGTGTACAGCTGCTGGAATGATAGGGCTGGTTGTCTGGCCCTCAAATGCTGCTATAATACAACGAAGCAATAACTATCTCCAAGATTTATTTTAGTTCTGGGTTGGAGAAGGAAAGATTCTGTGTTTAGGACTTCAATTTGAAATCCAGGGAAGTTTTGGCACTCTAGTTCAATGGATCAGTCTCTGCTCCTGAGTTTGTAAATGATGGTGATGGGGAGGGAAATGTGTTGTTTGGTTTTGCTGTAAAATTAACTTCAATTCATCAAACTCTAATATGCTTTCCCTCTCCAAGTGTTGTCATCTAAACTAAACTTTGTTATGGAAGCTACTTGCAAGAGATGTATTTTAAAGTATCCTCAAGGTAGTGCTTTAATACACTTCTTAGGAAGCTTGATACTGGCCATGCCTTTTCTATGACCGTGGTGGGGAAATATTTAAGGCAAGCCTCCCATTTGTAATGAAAGGTGAGTCATTCCCAGAGTGTGAAGCAGCCTGCTGAAGGTCATGCTCGAAGAGGTTGGGAGACGTGGGAATAGATTTGTAGGTTCCCAAAATTTGTTTCGATGCCAGTAATATCGCAATCAGATGGCCGCTTGCTGAATGACAGGCAGTGGACAGGGTGCTGTAACATGGCAATAGCTGTAATTCCCTCTTTGAGGGTCGAGCAGTGCTTCCTTTCAGATCACTTGTTTGGGGAGAACCTGGAAAAAATAGATGATCTGTCCAACTGTAGCTGGGTATTTGTCAGCAATGTCTCTTCTATCCCTCCCTCCTGCAGAGGGATGTCAGAACAGAGTTTGTAAACTTCTCATGGGGCAAGGTGAGCTGGAAGGCTGGCTTGTGGCACAGGAGGTCTTGATGCATTAAAAAAACACAACGCCAAACAAATAGTTTTCAGCCTGAACCAAGTTTTGTGGTTGATTTGCTTGCTGAACCTTTCAAGTATTTTGAAATCAATCTCATAGTGTTCAGGTAACTTGTAAACATTTTTTTTTCCTTGAAACATTTGTTTCCTTTGCTTCTTGTTTGGGTGGTTTTTTTTTTTGGGGGGGGGGTTTATATAAAGGTGGCTGCAAACTGCTGCCCACCTCATTGAATGGATAATATGAGAGAAACAGCAGTAGTGCTGTCTGTCACCAGTCACAAAGGGCCAGTTGTAGGGCCTGAACAGCTGAGTCCTTCAACATTGCTCAAGCTATTCTCCCACTGCAAGTACACTGTGAAGCTTATTTGGAAGTCTTCATGCTGAAACAAACAGTGCACAGATGCAGGGATATTTACAGCACAGGCTCAATTTGTTTTACAAATATTGACAAGAAATGGCTTGTTTGGCAGCAATATTTAGCAGGGAATTTTGGCTTTACTCTTCACATCCCGCTGTAGCGGACGTCTTTGCCTTCAGATCCAAGCATTGGCAAGGCTGGCATACATGCAGAGTTGTGGTTTGTGTCTCTGCTTCCCTGTGGTGATGACGGCAATCTTTTTCTTTTCTTTTTTCTTTATTGGCCATGCTTTTTTGTGTTTCTTGTCATTCCCCTTATTCTCCTCATTATCAGGAGGAAGCTAGACCATATTGCTCCACTGATGGAAATCATTATAGATTGCTAAGTCTCAGCAGTACGTTCTGTATTTCGTACAGCGGAGTGGGGCACGCAGGTTTGTGGCGGGAGGTGGGCTGCCTGAACTGCTGGCTTACATGGTAACTGCATTCCCTGGCCTCGGCTTTTGTTGGGTCTGTGGTGTGAGATAGAGGTTGGACTTGAGCTTTCAGTTCCAGGTTGAGTGGTGTCAGTGAGACCAGGGAGGTTAGTTTTTCAGCATAATGTGGGGAAATACTTGGTTTCCTACTGAGACTGTTAGCAGAGTAGAAGAGGGTGCCACTTAACAGGATAGCAGAGGTCCCCAGAGTGCCTGGGCTTAGGAGGTGCAAGGCTGGGAAGTGCCAGGTGCCTGCCTTCCCTGCGCAGTTCGGCTCACTTGCGCCAAGTGCCATGCTGGAGCAGGGCCGTGCTGGGCGCCACAGACCCAGGGACGCCTCTGCGTGCGGTATTGCAGATAAGGTCCTCGTTCCCAGGAGATTTCAGTCGGTTTGTGCAGGCAGATAGATGCGTTCTGCTAGAGATGAAGGGGCAAACGAGAATTGATTGCAGCACTGAAGTGGTCACTCTTTGCTCCTGTGTGCTGAGATAGCTTTATGTTTAATTGTGTACGGAGCCACATATGCTATTTCAATTGTGAATAAAAGACCCACAAACGATGTGACAAAAATGTTTTATTCTAGCTTTTCCATGTTTTAATTAGGAAGTCCTTGCTGAGGTGTTTGATGTTGAATGAACAGTGGTGTGAGAAATGACAGAATATTGAATTAATAATGCCTGGTAAAATTCAGTCTCTCTCTGATGGCAACTTCTTGTTGCTTTTGGTGTGAACAGAGTGCTTTCTGCTACCTTTTATTTCTTTCCTTCCTGTAATACCTGGTGCTTCATTTCTGAGTTGAGGCTAACTGGTAGCAGGGGCAGAGCCTAATGTTGCAGGTTGGTAAATCTTCAAAGTGTCCCAGAGAGATGGATCAGTCATCTTACAAGCAAGTGTTTTGAGACTCGTGTTTAGGGGGGTGCCACGTTAGTAGGAGCTGAGAGGCCTCGCTTCTGTTCCTGGCTCTGTGAATGATTCACTTCTTGTTACTCTGTGCTGTTAAAAAAGGTGTATCTGTGTTCCAGGCAACTGGGTAAATATTGCCTGATTCATTAGTCAATGTTTGGAGAACTTTGAAAGGGAAAATGCTACAGCAGCACAAGCAAGTGCTCTTCATTTAATGTGTTCAGATGCTATTGGGATGGGCACGTAAGCAGGCAGAGGACTATTACTGAAGTATTTGTAGTAGGAGGCTGGTAGAAATTTTGAAAATGGAAGGGCTTCATAGGGAGTTGAAAGCTTAAGATGACTTAAGTGTCTTGTCCTTTTGTACGATCTCAGAGGTTGCTAGCTGTAACAGCAGGTTGGGATGCAGTGGAGCTGGTTGGTGCTGCATAGATGGATGGGACGGTCTGTCTGCGTGCTGCAGGGCCTCTGCTTCCCACCATCCCTCGTAGAAACTCCTGGCGAATCCTTACAGTGGCAAGTAAAAGGTACAAAGCGATGTGCCTGGGAACACAATAAGATGAAATTACTGCTTGAGTGAAAATGAAATTTTTGTTGCTTGTCTTTAAAGCAAAGCTCCAGTCCTGGTTTGTGATGCCCCAAGGTCTGGTTTTGAAGAGTAATCAATATAAAGTTATCCTGTAGCCTTCCTGAATAGGTTTTGTGATCGATCATAGGGTAGCCAAGGACTGATGTTACTTGGAGGAATGTAACTAGTTTGGGTGAAGTGGAAGGGGAAAGTAAGTAAAATGGCTTTGTTGAACAGAAGAAAATGTGTTTGGCAGGTTATAAAATGCATTGTGGTCAGGTGCAGCTTTGAGGACGTGGCAAAAGAGGTTGAAACTAGCTCTTTCCATACTAAATGTGATTTAGTGAACACTCCTGGGTTTTCTACTGAATTGTCTTGAGCTTTTTATTGACTGTAA